CCTGCGAGAATGCCCATATTAAAAAAAAAAAAAAAAGTACTGGAAAGGGTACAGAAAAAAAGGAACTCTATTTCACTGTTGGTGGAAATATAACCTGGTTCAGCCCTTCTGGAAAGAAGTGTGAAGATTCCTCAAAAGACTAAAAATGGATTTACTGTATGATACAGCAATTCTTTTTTTTTTTTTTTACTTTAAATATACACGTTTTCATTTTATTTATAATACTGACAACATTGTACCATAATGGTTTCAGTGTTTATTTTCCCCAGAAGCCTGTGATCCTTTCTCATGATACAGCAATTCTACTCCTAGGTATCAATCCAAAGAGCACAAAAATACTAGTTTGAAAGGAAACCAACACCCCTGTGTTTATAGCAGCTTTATTTACAATAGCCTAGATATGGAAACAACTAAATGCCCCAGAATAGATGAATGGATCAAGAAGATGTGGTACATATACTAAATGGAATACTACTCAGCAAGCAAAAAAAAGATAAACTCATGCCATTTGTAGCAATATGAATGAAACTGGAAGTAATTACTTTAAGCTAAGTTAGCTAGAAGGAGAAAGAATACCAGATGGTTTTACTTGTATGTAGAATTTAGAGAAAATAAACAAAGGATCAGACAAAAATAAACTAATACTTATTCTTGAAATAAGACCATAGATCTGAGACACTCAGAAGTGAGGAGGAGAAAAAAGGAGAGTAGAGAACAGAGATGTGGAGAATGGAGAGTGGTGGAGGGCTGTGGGCACTCTGGTTATGGGAAAACTATGGTGATAACACCTAAGGGGAGAAATTTTATATTGTGTATAAATAAAATAAGGATGCTTAAAAATAATTAAAATAAAAATATATAAAAATAACATAATAGCCAAATTATATAAAGGAATATATATAACTCAACAGCACAAAACAGGTCACACACATCTGAAATGATATAAACTTACACCCTTAAATCATATACTGTGTTGTAAACCAATGGTACCTCAATAAAAAATAATACAAGTTTTTAAAAATTGGACAAAGGTCCTGAGTAGATATTTTTATTAAAAAAAAATACCAATGGCCAACAGGCATATGAAAAGGTGATTAGCATCACTAGTTATCAGGAAAATGCAAATCAAAACCACAATGAGCTATCACTGCATATCCATTAGGATGGCTATTACAAAAGTCAAGAGATAAATGCTGAAGAAAAGTGAACTCTTGTATCGTCTTGGTGGGGATATAAATTGGTATAGCCATATGGAAATAGTATGGAGGCAACCCAAAAAATTAAATATAGAACTGCTATATGATCCAGCAATCCCATTTCTGGGATTATAAACAAAGGAAATAGAATCTGTATCTCCAAGAGATAGCTGCACTTCTATGTCCATTACAGCACTATCTGTAATAGCCAAGACATGAAAACAATCTAAGTACGCATCAGAAGATGCGTGGATAAAGACAATGAGTGTGTGTGTGTGTGTGTATAATATTCCATTGTGTGTGTGTACATCCAGTCATAAAATATATTGGAATACTGTTATGGAATAATACTCAACATTAAAAAAAAGGAAATTCTGATTATTATGACAATATTGATCCACCTTGAAGACAGTACACTCAGTGAAATTAGCCAGATACAGGAAGCACTATCTGGTCTCACTTACATGTGGAATCTTAGTCAAATCACAAAAGCAAAGAGTAGAATGGTGTTTGTCATGGGCTACAGGCGGGAGAAATACAAGATGCTAGCCAAAGGGTACAAGTTTAGTTATGAGATGAAAGGGTTCTGAGGATGTAATGTACAGCATGCTGACTGCAGTTAATAATACTATATCGTTTGCTTGAAATTTGCCATGAAAATAGTTACCAGGAAAATACATTGTTTTGGTATTCTCACAAAAAAAGGTACATATGTGAGTTGATAAATGTGTTAATCAGCTTAATTGTGGTAATCATTTCATACTATATGTGCATATCAAAGTATCATATTGTATACCTTAAATATATATAATTTGTATTTATCAATTATAACTCAGTAAAGTTGGAAAATATATTCTATTTTCTTAAACGTGCATGTTCTTTTTTTTATTATATCTTTTTTTTTTAAAAGATTTATTTATTTATTTATACATATAAGCACTGGGTACAGTCAGAAGTGAGGGAGGGTGAGAGAATTCACCAGAGCCAGAGCAGGGAGCAGAGCAGGCAGAAGGACCGAAGTACACTGCTGAGGGGAGCTGCGGGTGGCAGAGGAGGTCTGCGCACCATGTGGGACCCTCCTCAGGTGGCCGGGGAGCAGCCGGGGATCGAACCAGCGCTGCAGAGGCTGCGGGCAGCTTCGCAACCCAGTGCTCAACCGCTGCGCCACCGGGGAGGCCCTAAACGTGCATCTTCTAACTATTTCAGTACTATGTCCAATTGGGAAGACTGTGGCTTTAGATGAGCTCAGGGATAATCAGTGAAATCATTTGTGTAATGCCTTCTATGAACAAAAAGCAGACTCATTTCCCTCTGCACCGCACTGGTATTATTTTTATTATAGCTTCTATTAAAGAGGTTGTTAATGTGATCAGAAAGAGCAGCTCAAAGAGGAACTAAAATCTCTTCAACTAATAAATTACTTAGAACTACTTCATAAAGCACAAGTATGTAATTTACATGATATCCATAGCTATTAGTGGAAATTATTTGTTTTTTTCCAAAGTTTTAAGACACTCTACATGGTAAAATGGTATTTAGATACGATTCAGAAAAGGATAGAACTACTCAAATCCAATTGATTTGTTCAAATACAATTTGGAATTTTTACTACTTTTCACTTGATCATTTTGAGAGTCATAGATGAACTATTCAAGCAAAATTGTATTTTACCAAACAAAATCCATTATTAGGCATAGTGATATGATCACAAAACCCACAGAATATGATATGTAAACATTAAAATAGATACCAGGTTAGGTATCACTTGAAAGTTACCAAAACATAATGTTAAATATAAAATAGAAGACACGAAATATTCTACAAATGCTATATAATCAAAAAAAAAATAGGAAAAGTTGTAAACATTGAATATATCATGAAAAATCACTACAGTGCTCACTGATACTTATCTGAAGGCGGTGAAAACTTATATCCAGAGAAAAACTTGCACAAAGATGTTTATAGCAGTTTATGTTTATAGCAGTTATCATAATTGTCAAAACTTGGAAGCAACCAAGATATCTGTCAGTAGGTGAATGGGAAAATAAACTGTGGTATATCGAGACCATGGAATATTATTTAGTGCAATAAATAAATGGGCTATCAAGTCATAAAAAGACCTTGAGGAATTCTATGTGCATATTACTAAGTGAAAAAAACTAACTACATGACATTTTGGAAAAGGCAACACTATAGAGACAGTTACAAAATCATTGATGGGGGGAGAAATAAACAGAGGAAGGACAAAGGATTTTTAGGGCATTCAAAATACTCTGCACGACACCATAATGATGTCTAGATGTCTTTATTCATTTATCCAAACCCATAGAATGTATGTACACCACCAACAGTAAACTGTAATGTACATTAAGAACTTTGGTTGAGTTGATACTTTTAAATAGGTTCATCAATTAAAAAGAATGTAATGCTCTCGTGGTGGAGGTTAGTAACGAGTAAGGTTATGCATGTGTGGTGGCAACAGATGGGAAATCTCTGTAACTTCTTCTCAATTTTACTGGGAACCTATAATTGTGCTAAAAATAAATAAGGCATTTGAAAAAATGCACTGTATATTCATAATTATATCGAACCACTATAAAATTGAACAAGAAATAAAAATAAAATTAGCACTTACTACTCTAGATTACTTAAAACACATCTGATATTAAAGAAATATTCCAACATTAAGACCTTCCAGTTTTCTAGTGTGAATAATTACACATAAGACAAGAGTACTATTTATTTAAAAACTCACATTATTTTACATAATACAGACTTATTTTTTCCAAAATAACCTTGAGTTTCTGGATTTAGGTAAGGTTCTCAAGAGAAATTAAATATACACTAAAAGCCCTTAGTAGCCTTTCCAAAAACTTCATCCATACATGCCTTTTTGTTGAATTAAAAGTCTTGCTATGAAAGTCTCACACACTATCCAAACCTCAAATACAATTAAAATAAATTTAAATGTAGGTAATCTCAAGTCATTTGTAGAACTGAGTGAACTGAATTTTATCAGGAACCATTTCACCCAACATTTTCTTCTTTTCATCTCCAATTCTTCCTCTCCACCCCCCCACCACCTGCCTTATGCACACACATACAAACAAACACACATTATTAAGTTTACTGTTTTATATAAAAATTCTAACTCATTTCTGAACCTCAACAAAATTATTCTGTTTCCAGCTCACTATTATTCCTCATTAAATCTGCCAGCTTCAGCCTATTAAGTAACATCTGCTTTTTAATCAATGCCAAGGAAGGTAACTTATTTAAATTAACTTTCTTTTAAAACTAAGAATAAAAATATAGGAGTTGTATGGATCTTTAAAAGGTGGAAATCTAAGTTCTGTTATTACATCCAAAATGACTGTTTCAATATGAAAGCTTTCCATTTACTCCAAGTAAAATTGTGGAAAATAACATCTGTACATTGCAATAAAGCACTACTTGTAAGAGGCATTCCTCAAGTCAGTGAGTAATTCGGAAAACAGTAGCAAAAGCTCTTGGAGCAGTGTGTATGTAGGATAAAGCCAAAATGTTTTTCTAACTTGTAAAGACAACTTTTCCATGAGTACTACTTTCTGCCAGTTTACTTCTTCAAGGTATGAGCAGCATCAGCCTTCTCTTGATTTAGCTTCAATAAATTGAGAAGACATCCAAGAAAGGCATGTTCCTTATTTTAGCAAATCGTCCTATTAACCTCTGGCATTACTGGAGTTAGCAGTGAAGCATATTAATAAAGAACACTGATATGTAAAATAAAAAATGTGCAACTGCTACTCCTTATTTTATTTTTTTTTGATCAAGTCTTTATTCAAATTTAGCTGTCCAAAGTGATTTGCCCTTTATAGAATAAACAAATTTAAGATTATGCAGCAGGCTTCTTTTCTTCTGTGGGTTTCTTTTCGGTGGGCTTCTTTTCAGCTCCTGGTTCCTTGGTAGTTGCAGCCTTTTTTCCCACTGAAGGCTTTTTTGGTTTCTTCTCACCAACAGCCTTCTTTCCTTTCTTCCCCGCCACAGGCTTCTTGCCTGGAACCCCCTTCTCATCTGATTCAGCTTCTTGTGCTGCTGCCGCCGCTGCCTTATTCATGCGGATTTTGTGATTCTTGGCGTGACGGAGAATGGTGTTGCGGCGCATGGTCTTTGCATAGGGGTTCGGCTTCAACATGATTCTCAGGTTCTTCAATGGATTCTTCTTTAGCACTCTGCGATGAATCTTATTGCGTGGTGCTTGGAGAGCTCTTTGGATCTCTGGACTTTTCAAAATTCTGCTAAGATCTGTATTGAGCATCTTGTGCTTGGGAAGGTTGTAGTTACTCTTGAGGGAGGCAGCTTTCCGCCAAGTGCCATACAGATCATCTAACTTGCGAAAAACACTTTCAGTCCAAATACAGAAACGTGTCCCACATGGCCAGCAGGAGCAAGTTTCAGAATGTTCAGTTTGCTTACATTAAGCAAAGTAATTCCAGGAATGTTTCTGAAGGCCTTGATGAATCCGTTGTCCTCGCTACAGATGATACAGGGTCCCCTGCACTGGATACGACGGTGGTTTCTCATCTTGCCCTTACCAGCTCGCATCCGCTGAGAGGTATAAACCTTTCTGATATCATTCCAGGCCTTAAGTTTCTTAAGAAGCAGACCAGCCTCCTTGGTCTTCTTGTAACCTTCAAATTTATCTTCAACCACCAAAGGGAGTTCAGGTACTTCCTCAATGCGATGACCTTTAGACATGACCAGTTCTGGTAAGGCAGAGGCAGCCAGGGCAGAGCAGATGGCATATCGCTTCTGTGTAGTGTTCACTCTATGGTGCCAATGATGACAGGTTTTGGTTGGTACAAACATGCGGCCTCCACGACACATATTTCCAAAAGCACCCTGGCCAGAACGGTGAGTCCCACCGCCTCGAACTCTGGGAATTCGAGCCACAGCTCTGCCAGTACCCCAAGTACTCGGCACTAGTTTGATGACCTGCTAGTTCACTGACAGCATAGGGCTGTCTGTTATTTTTGCGCAAGATGGTATGAACAAAATTGACGATATCTGGTCGAATGGAAGCCTTGAACACAGCAGGTAAGGTGACATTTTTGCCAGATGACTCCCCCTTTTGGAGTACACAGATATCAACGGAAGGGCACACGCCACGTCGGGGAGAGGAGAGGGCCATGCTTCTCCAGGCCCGGAGGCTCCCACAGGAAAAGTTCCTTATTTTAACATCGCAGTTTCCTTTCATGAAACTACCTTCCAATGTTGATGAAAACACATATGTGACCCAAAAAGAGGACAATAAAATGGGAAGAGCAAGACATTTAAGTCAAATAATCTCATTCCTAATTATTTAGTTATAATAACATCTGTGAATGGCACAAAATTTAAGAGTACATTTCTTTAATGTGCACACCTTACATTATAACTGTGTAAGAACATAGTTACATGTTTCTGTATATATGATATATAGTAATATGGTGATGTGGATGTATATATAGTTGCAACAAAATCAAAAAGAAAATTTTGATTTTAGGCAATATTTCATAAATATCACCATTATATTACACTCTAAAATTTTTAAACAAGCAACATGGATGAAGATTGAATGCATTGTGCTAAGTGAAATAAGTCAGAAAAAAAAACAAAGAATGACATCTAATGTATGCTGTATGATTTCACTTATCCAATGATTAAAATAAAGAAAATCTCACAGAAAAAGAGATCAGACTTGGTTACTAGAGAAAGAGGGTTTAGGAAGGAGGATTTGGAGGGGTTGTCAAAAGTACAAACTTCCAGTTATATGAGAAATTTAAGTACACAGAATATATTATGTAATATGATAAAGACAGCTGACACTGCTGATGATATATATGGAAGTTGACAAGAAAGTAAATCCTAAGAGTTCTTATCACAAGGATTTTGTTTTCATTTTTTATTATACCTACAGAAGGATATTAACTGAAGATATTGTGTAATAATGCCACAAGATTTGATATCGAGCCATCATGCTGTACACTTTAAAACAGTGATGTGTATTAGTCATTTATCAATAAAACTGGAGGCTAAGCAAAACTACCTCATATAACCTTTACATTGTTAAATTACATGGACTCATAGCCCAATGCAATTTCCAAGCTGCCCTCACCATGATGTATTCATGACTGCAATTATATTTATCCCCACAACATGAGGAAACAGACAGCAGGTATGTCACCTTTATACTGATATATTTTCCTTTTTTTTTTTTGATATATTTTCCAATTCTTTTTTGTACAACCTACAAAACTAGCCCTCAGAACAATGCTTATTTTGGAACCATGTTCTTCCAGCACTTATAGCCTTCACCCTGCAGTCAGAAGTCAAGCTATTCATCAACTTCTTTGGGTTTTAGAAATTGACCCAATGTTTTTTTGACTTTGAAGTTAGATAATGCTGGAGACTCACAGGGATGAGGTGATATCTAATTATGGTTGTGATCTACATTTTCCTTATAAGTCATACTGAATATTTTCTCATAAGCCGGTTGGTCATTGATATGTCTTCTTTGGAGAGGATCTATTTAGGTCTTTAGCCCGTTTTTGACTGGGTTGTTTCCTTTTGGTTGTTGATTTTATGAGTTCTTCATATAGTCTTCCAGTGATAGACACTTTTGGGTTTTGTGGTGATTTCTGTTGTAGTACAAAGGCTTTTTAGTTCGATGTTATTCTGTTAAGTTTTGTTTTTGTTTTCCTTGTTGTTAGAGTTGTATCCTCAAATGCACCTATGTTGTTGGTCTCTAGGAGTGTTACCACCTAATTTTAGTTTATGTATTTTATGGTTTCAGGTCTTATATTCAAGTCTTTAATACATTTTCAGTTAAATTTTATTTTATTTTTTAATTTTTTTTAAGATTTATTTATTTATTTGTTTGTTTATTTATTTATTTATTTATTTATTTGTACAAGCACTGGGTATAGTTAGAAGTGTGGGAGGGTGAGAGAATTCACCAGAACCAGAGCAGGGAACAGAACAGGCAGACTGACAAAACACACTGCTGAGGGAAGCGGCGAGCGCGGCAGGAGAGGTCTGCTGCACCATGTGGGACCCTCGCTGGGTGGCTGGGAATTGAACTGGCGCTGCAGAGGCTGCGGGCAGCTTTGCTACCCAGCGCTCAACCGCTGCTCCACCAGGGGAGGCCCTCAGTTAAGTTTTATATATGGATTTAAATTATCTTCTGGTTCATTTTTTTTTACATGTGGCTCTCCAAGTTTTACAATACTACTCACTAAAGAGGTATTCCTAGCTCTATTGTATGGGCATGCTTACAAAAATTTGTCAAAGATTAACTGTTATATTTGTGTAGGTTTATTTCTGGGCTCTCTATTCTATTCCATTTATCTGCCTGTCTTGTTCCAATACCTTGTTTTGATGACCATTGTTTGCAATATAGGGGTTGAAGTCTGGGTTTGATACCTCCATTTTTCTTCTTTTCCCTCAAGATTGCTTTGACCCTTTTTATTCTATACAGATTTTATGATTGTTCTACTTCCTTGATATGTTACTGAGACTTCTGACAGAAATATAAATAGACTTGTACTGAATCTGTAAATTGCTTTAAGTCATATGGCAATTATAACAATGTTAATTCTTCCAATCCATGAACAAAAGATATCTCTTTACATTTTTGTCCCTTATTTTATTATCTTTGACACTGTCTCATATTTTCAAAGTGTAGGCGCTTGCTTCTTTGTTAAGGTTACTCCCAGGTATTTCATGTTTTGGTGTCACTGTAAATGGAACTGATTTCTTAATTTCTCTTTCTTCCTCTTCAATAAGTCATTGCTAGCATGTAAAACACAACACATTTTGTGATTGTTTTGTATCCTGCCACTTTACTGTATTCATGTATTTCTTCTAGTAGGTTTTTTAAATAATCTTTTGGGTTTTCTATGTATATGATAGCTTCATTTCTCTTCCAATTTTGGTTCCTTTAAGGTATTTTTCTTACCCAGTGCCCTTTGCTAGGATTTCCAATACCACATTGAACAGTATTTGTGAAAGTGGACATCCTTATGTTGTTCCTAATCTTAGGGTAGTATGAGGTTGGTTGTGGGTTTGTCATATTTGGCCTTTATTATGTTGAGACAAGTTCAATTATTCCTATTTTATTATGGGTTTTATCATAAATGGATGTTGAATCTTATGAAATACTTTTAAAGTAATCAATTAAAATGATCCTGTGATTTTTATCTTTCTTTTTGTTGATGTGGAAAAAAGCATTAATTTATTTCCAAACATTCAATTAGTCAAGCATACTAGAATGAATCACAGTTATGATGGATGATTATATTAATATATTACTGATTTTATTTACCAAAATTTTGTTGCTGATTGTGCATCTATGTTGCTGATTGTGCATCTAGATATTTGGGTCTAGAGATTGTGTGTGTGTGTGTGTGTGTGTGTGTGTGTGTGTGCTGTACTTGTTTAGTTTTGGTATCAAGGTAATTTTGGCCTCTTCAAATATGCTTGGGAACTTTCCTCCTCAATTTTCATGAAGAGTTTGAAAAGGATAGATATGAAATACTCTTTGAAGGAATGGGAGAGTTCACTACTAAAGTCATTTGTCCTGGACTTTTGTTCTTATTTTTTTAAAGATTTATTTATTTTATCCATACATACAAGAACTGGGGTACAGGCCAGATTCGCGGGAGGGTGAGAAGATTCACCAGAGACAGAACGGGGAACAGAACAGGCAGACTGACGAAATACACTGCTGAGGGGAGCAGCGGGCACGATAGGAGAGGTCTGCTGCGCCATTTGGGACCCTTGCTGGTTGGCCAGGATCAAACTGGTGCTGCAGAGGCTGCAGACAGCTTCACAGCCCTGTGCTCAGGCGCCGCGTCATCAGGGGAGGCCCCTGGACTTTTGTTCTTAGAGAGACTTTTGATCACTGTTCCTATTTCTGTGTTTATGATTAGTCAGTTCAGTTGCCTATTTCATCTTGTTTCAATGTGGGAAGGATCTATAAATCTGAAAATTTGCCCATTTCTGCTAGGTTGTCCAAATTAGTTTACATGCAGACATTTATATCGGTCTGTTATTATGCTTTGTATTTCTGCAGTATCTGATGTAAGTTTGCCTATTTCTGATTGTTTTTATTTGGGTTTTCTCTCTTATTGAACAAATTAAGGGTTTGTGAATATTGTTTATCTTTTCAGAGAACCAGCTCTTGCACTGATCTTTAGTACCCTCTTTTTTGTATCTATTTCACTTATTTCCATTCTAAGTTTTATTTCCTTCTTTCAACTGATTTTTGTTTTTGTATTTTGTTTTCTAGTTCCTTCAGATGTTAATTTCAGATTTTTTTTTTGAAATGGGTTTGTATTGCCATGAACATCCCTCTTAATACTATTCTTTTAGTGCATGACATAAGCTATTATGGTAGCTTCTCTCTTAATTTTCATTAGTTTCCAGATAATTTGCTATTTCTCCTTTGATTACCTCGTTGACTCGGGAGTTACTCAAAAGCATTTTGCTTAGTCTCCACATGTTTGGGTTTCCCAGATTTCTTTTTGTGGTTGGTTTCTATCTTTATACTATTATGATAAATATTTTGAGACATGAGTCATGTCCCTGCATATGACCTACTCTCCAGAATGTTCCATGTGCATTTGAGAAAAACACATATTCATTTCTTTTAGGAAGAAATGGAAGGCTCTACAACTGTCTATAAAGTTGATATGATACATAGCTTCACTTAAGGTAATTATTTCCTTGTTCAGTACCTGGATTATCAAGCCATTGATGTTAGTGGTGTTCTAAGATGCCCTACTATTATTTTGTCTTACAAAATTTTGGTGGACCTGTGTTGGGTGTGTAAATATTAATAACAGTTATATCTTCTTGATGAACTTTCTACTTGATCATTAAATAATGCCCATCTCTGTGACTAATTGTCTCTTTTGGCTGAAAGTCTATTTTATCAAATATAAAAATAGTAATTCATCTGTTATTGACTTGAATATCCATCCCCTCACTTTAAGTCTACTTGTCTTTAAATCTGAGTTTCTTTTCTGTATAATATAGATGGGTCATAATCTTTAAACAAAAGTTTCTATTTGTGTCTTAATTGTTGAGTTCAGCCCCTTCATGTTTTTGGTAAGTATTGATATATAAGCCTTAATTACTGCCATCCTTTTAGTTTTTGGTTGTTTTATCTTTGTTTTCTTTTTCCCTGAGTTTTTATCTGCCTTATTTGGATTGCTTTCCTTGGTGGTTCAGTTTCTTCATTTTTTTTTCTCTAGGTGTCTTTATTCTAGGTTTTTGTTTTGTGATTACCATGACACATATCAAACTTTTTGTACCTAAAATATATCTAATATACCTAAAATAGTCCTATTTCATCTCATCATTATCTAACCTTTTGGATTCAGTCCTTTTCTTCCTCTTCTTTAGTATTCTGCTATTTCATATTCTTGTTTATGATTCTGATTCCATATTACCTTGCTCAAAGTTTTGTGTCCTTTTGCTTTTTCAATTCATGTAGAAGATTACCTTACAACATACAGGGCAGGTCTGATGGTGTAAACTCCGTATCTCTGAATGCTCTAATATTGTCTTTATTATTGACTTTTAATACCTTAATGACAATGTGTGTTGCAGTGTGTCAGTCTGGTATTACTGTGTTTGTAACTCTTTGGGCCTCTAGGATCAGGGTGTGTAGTTTGTTTCCCAGATTAAGATGGTTTTCAGCAAATTATTTCTTTAAATACATGTTCTATGACTTTCTCCTTTCCAACTAGGGCCCCTTACAGATATTATTTCCATCAGAGATTATACCAAAGGATTATAACACTGTTTCAATTTTTATTCATTTTCCTCTCCATTGTATTATTTTGTCTCCTCTTCCACTGAGCTTTTGAATTCACAGATCCTCTCCATTACTTGTGTTTGCCTACTTTTATGGCCCTCTATTATAATTTAAATTCAGTTACAGTATTTTTGATCCAATAATTGTCATCTCTTATTTCTCAATCTTTGTCTCTTGTTTTAAATCACCCATTGTTTTTTTCTTAATTTGGTAAGTATAGCTATATTGTTATCTTAAAGTTCTCTTCAAGCATATTCTGTAGTTTTATTGGGTTGAGGATTTTCATGTTTTTGTTTTTTGTTTTTGTCTCCATCATTTGTTACATGTTCATCTGACTCTTCATTTTAATTTTTGTGGGTTGTAAAGGTGGGGGTGGGGTTCTCATTCTTATCTTAATAAGTTGACTTTATACAACTTCTACAAGAAGATGGGTACAATACCAGGTATTTTACCCAGGATCTTTAGATGTCTTAATTTACAAACTGATGCCTTTGCATTTGTATAAATCACCTGGGCACTGGTGCTGAAATAGATAGGACAGAACTAGGGCAGTAGATAGGACAGAACTAGGGCAGTAGGGTACCAAAAGGTTGACTCAAGTGAGTATTAAATGTTCAAGCCTCTTACAATACTGTGGATGCCCACATTGTGTTGTGGGGAATCTACCATCCTCACTTCGCTAGGTCATCCATTGGTCAAAATGTCTTGAACAGTCTCATGCTACCTCAACCTCAAGCTGTGAATGAGAAACTGATGTAGCAGTGGGTGAGCATTCTAGGTGAAACAGGGCCACAAGCTTGAAATTGTTCCCTCTGCTTTTCCAGTACAGAGTTTAATCCTGGAGCATTTGTTTCTGTTATTAAAATCTGGGTGCTCACACTCTTGTTAGTAAGAGCATTCAGTTGTAGTATCAGTATCTGCCCTGGGTGGGGCTTAGGCAGGTGTTTTATGTATCACATACTCAATCTACAAATAATAGTCTCTTCTATGAAGCAACACAGGTGACCTGATCTGGATTTCCCTGTAGTTTTAGAGTTCAACTGTTCTAGCTTATGAGTCTCAAATTCTAGCCAGTAATCACCACTCTGCACCCTTACTACAATAGTTCTCCAGTTCTGCAGGCCAACACTGTGCGCCTCCTTCTCCAGTGCAGTCCATGGTCAACAAAGTCCCTCGGGTGGGAATGTGCCTCTGAGTCCACAGCAGCAGAGGGGCACCATGCAGTGCCTGCTCTTCCTGTGGGTTGTGCTGGTCTGGTATCTGTATCCACACAGTTCAATTACAGTTTTTCCCACTCCCTTCCACCACACTGTTGCTCCTGATGTATGTCTGCTTGTCTTTCAAGAGCTATTGATTTTGTGTTTGTTGTAATTTGGTTTTGAATATGTGAAATAGTCAAGCCCTGGGTCTTCACTCTGCTGTCATTTTGCCAGACTCTTTATACCTATTATGAGACTTATTTACTCACATATTCATTTACTTATTGTCTTTTAATTTATTCATTAGCTAGAATAGTTAGGAGTTTCAATGAGTCTTCTTTAAAAAAAAATTGAGTGGCTCCTCCTAGGATTACAAAAGACAGACAATTTGGCCCCCATTGTCTTAGGGGGACTTGGGTGGTCTAGCCAAAGCTGTCCTTCCTTAAAAATTCTGGGAAACAGGAATATTGCCTATAAAACATACACAAAACAGTGACACAATGACACATGACTAAATAATATGTGAAAAATTTGAAAAGAGTTACTTAAAATGATAAGCAACAAGGAGGCTAGGTAAATGGTATACAGGTTTTCTCTGGATTGTTTTTATGTCTTTTCTATAGTTTAAAATTATTTCTAAAGAGAAAGATTCAAGAAAGAAAAGTGAAATAATAGTACATTATTAAATTGGTGACCTAATGAAGTTTTTTTTTCCCCTTTTTTTATCAGGAAAAAAAATGCTTATTTTCATTTCATTTGTGGTTATGTTTATTGCCAAAATAAAATTCCACAAGCAAAAATCTTATTCTTGAAAACATGTTCTTGACATTTACTTCTTTATTTTATTTAAAAAGTGATTAGTAATGTCAGTAAGAGTATTTCACAATGCTATTTCCTGTTGGCTATAAGGTCTAATTTTTCAGTTTTCCAGTCTGTATTTAGAGTAAGATGTATTAGTTTAACTTCTTTTATATTTAAGGAAAAATAATTATTAAGAAAACACTTTAGGAAAATCATGTTAGTATTTTCCTTCTCCACCCATTAGGCCACTTTTTACATTTGGAAAATAATGTCACAGACATGCTTATTAAGCATTTGTTTGAAAAGTAAATGTTGTTCAAACTAAAATGTATTTATACAGAAGTATCTCTTTAATGAAAATCATCAAACTTCCACTTTCTCAAACATGAATAAATTATTTTATCATGACCTCAAGCGAAATTACAAATAACCATTTTCCTTTTAATTGAAATATGAATTTACATAACAGCCCATGAAAAAAATAACTTAAAAAATTTCCTCTATAATTGAGCTTAACTCACCTTGTAAGCCCTTTTCCACTGCTCACAAAACATATGATCTTGCCAATGTAAAATAAAATCAGTTATATTTCTAAATATATTTAAAATATTTTCTTTGAGAAAAACATTAGGCAAGCTCAGAATTCTCCTCCTTCCCATTCTCCTTCTCATTCTCTTAGGGTTAAATTTTACCTTCTAGTATTGCATGGGCCTCACGGTCCAATCCTCGATCACTGATATCTATCCATGTTGTCCTTATAACATGATGTATGACTCACACTTATGCATAATGCACACTTTGTTTTTGATTATTGTCCCTGCATTCACCTTGAAACATGGGCATCTTTTTCTGCTTTCCAGTTTCTATTCTCACCCCAGGTGATAAATGCAAGAAATCTGTGTATACCCGCTGAGGTTTGGGGCTGCCCTTTGGCCACCTTCCCAAACACCAATCTACTCTTGCTGTTACTCAGGAACCCTTGCTAGACGCAGACTATTTCTATAAGGATTATAATACGGGCTACCTTTTGGAAAGCTAAGTAAAGTTCCCTCTAATTCCATGATTTCCTAAGATTTGCACATGCTCAAGCCCCATTTTGAAAGTTTTCGTTAGGCTACTTTGCTTTTACAAAAATCCTACACTAGTACCTATTGTCACTAATGGAAATAAATCTGAAAAGAACTTTCATTTTAATATTTTTTATAATTAAGGTGATACCAGTTTACAAAACTGTATGATTCAAAAATATAGCATCACACATCTCCAGCATGTGCTACCATTATCCTCCCTACCACCAAGGTGTCCCTAGTCCTCTGTCATATTCCATAGTGCCCCTTCTCTATTATCTTTGCACTCTCTCACTCCCTCTCTACTAGCCTCAGTTTTAAGTCAGATTTCTAGGGTTTGTTTTTGGTTTGGTGTTGTCTGACCCTTTATTTTTTTCCCATTATAGTCTACATATATGTGAAACCATCTGATATTTTGGATTTGTCTTTTTCTTTCTGGTTATTTAACTTAACATAATGCCCTCCAGATCCAGTCACAAATGACAAGAGTTCATTCTTTTATATAGCTGAGAGGTCATCTATCATTCAAATATGGATGGATGGATGGATGGATATATATACACACACATATAATCTCACAATTCTTAATCCATTCAACTGTCCTTGGGCACCTAGGCTACATCCATACCATGGTTGTTGTAAATAGTACTGCAATCATCCCTACAAATTAGTGCTTTAGCATTTTGGGGTAGATACTTAGGAGCAGAATTGATGGATCATGTGGTAGAGATTGTTAATATTCTGAGAAACTTCTCTATGCTTGCCATAGGGCTGGACCAGTCTACATTCCAGCCAACAATGCAAGAAGGTTCCTTTAAGCCTCAATTTCATCATCTGGAAACTAAAAATAATAGAACTTTTTAAGTTTTTTAGTTTCTATTCCAAGTAGGTCCTCTCTTCAACCAGTCATTAATTTACGTAACAATCTTGTGTGTAAATTTTAACAATAACCATTATTTATTAAGCACTCACTCAGTATAGACACCATACTAAGCAGGTCATAAACACTCTCATTTAAGGCATTTTACAAACCAATAAATGGCATCCTCTTTCAGCCTCACACCACAGGTGAAGATAGTAGAGCATAAAGAAGGCATCTAATTTTCCAAAGTGCTCCCACCGGTAAATAGCAGAACAAAACTATAAATACAAAGCCCTGACTCCAATGCCTACTATTTATGCTATAGAATAAGACTAAATCCATTTATTATAGATTTCTTCCTTATATTTAGGACATCCAGACCATTCCTTTAGGAGCTGTCCATCCCCATGGAAAAAAATATGAATTTTGCAATCATAAAAAGGAATAAACAACCATAATATGTAATAATTGTCATGAGAGCTTCAGTACAAACTTGATGAGGCATTTCCAATTTTACCACTTTTGAAACTATCAAAGACTTTAAGACAAAGGTCGTTCTTCATTTCAAACTTTATAATAGTACAGGGAGTCCAGTCTGTATTAACATATATTTGCATTTGGAAAATAAATGTATGCCAGCAAAGGAGAAAACTGACTTAAACAGAAGCTGATTAAATGCTTGAAAATAATTCAAGATATTATATCATTGAAGTGATTCCAAAAAATGACATGGATGTAATTTAAGAATACTGAACTACATCAGAATTCCAGGATTTAGCAAAAGGGTAAGAGGGGAGTTCATTCACGTAGAGGAAGAGAAAATTTTCTTTGGACTAGTTATATCAGATAATATGTTTATTTAAGGAAAAATAAACAGGTGGGGAAAAGTTCTGCATGCCGAACATGGAAGGAAAGCATTTTTGTGCCTAATATATTACAGAAACTCTCTTAGTACACCTCATTCTTTCAAAAATATTACCCTCACACAGTGGCCAAGGTCAGTTTGAATTTAGGTAATTTTCTATATATGTAAGTGTGGATCATATGTGTTCCAATCTCAGAGCTATTTTGTCACACTACCTTTTAAAAATATTTTCTCTGTTTATTATTCATGGATTCCTATTTTTTTCCCTTTGAGATCTGGCAGTCTTTGGCTTTTTGTTTTGTATCCCAATTCCAAGTATATAACATCCAAGTTTCCTACTGATAATCAACAACCTTCAGTCCTTCATCACTAAAGGCACATATTATGATTTGGTCACATGCCTTATAAAAGCTCTACTGTAAATGTTTAAGGAATAAATGGTCCCTTACAACCTAAACACCTTTCAGACCTCAAAGATTTTCTCAGAGTGTAACTATAGTAGTGTGCAAGCAGTACTTCATTTGATACAAAATTTATAACAATTCAATCATGAGGTGACGTGCACAAAAGAATACTCATTGTCAACAGGGCACCTCAAATTCAACACCTCTCCAACTTGAAGTCATACTTTGTGAACTAATTTAAAAAAAAAAAAAAAGGAATAATACTGGGGATGACAAAATTTATTTTCTAGACCTCACTGGACCAACTACACGACCTACCCCCTAAAAGATCCAGTGTTCTTATTTGTCATTACCAATTCTGTGTATGACAGTGGAAAATCAAAGGTGGGTCACAAGCTATGAATGTTAGGCCTGTGATTGTAAAGAGTCAAATACTAAGAACTTAGAAAGTCACCTTGCAACATCTCATGGATGTGTCCTAAGAAACACTGAAAACATAGTGAATGATATATAAATAAATTATGTGGAAGATGAAGATTACAGAATTGTGGATTTCACAGCAATATAGGGACAAATCCACACATTAAATACAAGGTGTGATGGTAGGATCCATACCTCATTTTATGAATTCCATAATATCCAAAATGGCACATTGCATAAAATAGGCATTTTGTAAATGTTGCAATTGAAATAAATGCATAATCAGGTTTTATTTTTTTCTGAAATTTGGATGACTAAAAGGTAGTAAGCACAATGTTTTTACTTTCATACAGTTGGCAGTGGATAGAGACCAAAAGTGACATTTGTGCATGCATCATACCATACTAAGCTTATACTTTATTGCAGAGGTGAAATAAATTGACACTGGAAGTAATTTACTCTGACAAGAATGTGGCCAAGTTTTCCTGTGTCAGGTACCTCACTCAAGATTATATATATTGGGAATATAAAGAAAAAAAG